GTTCTATGTTGATTCTCTTGTAGACAGTATATATAGGCTTCATATTTTCTTATCCATTCAGCTACCCTATATTTTTTGATTGAAGCACATAATCTATTTACATTTAAGGTTACTATTTCTAGGTATTTATTCATTGCCACTTTTATTCTTTATGCCTGTTCTTCTCTCTATCTTTCTTCATCTTCTTACAGCAGTCCCTTTAACATTTCTTGCAATGCGGGTTTGTCTTAATAAACTGGAATCGAACCTGGGACCCTTCAGTCCCCAGGCGGACACTCTTTCCAGTCAGCCAAACCGGCTAGGGCAGTGGTCAGTAAACCACGGCACGTGAGCCACATGCGGCTCTTTGGCCCCTTGAGTGTGATTCTTCCACAAAATACCACATGCGAGCACGCACGTACAGTGCGACTGAAACTTTGTGGCCCATGCGGAGAAGTCGGTTTTCGGCCTGGACGAATCTATTTTGAAGAAGTGGTGTTAGAAGAAGTGGGGGGTGTCAGTCGGTGGGGCGACTGGAGACTTGGCGCAGGCGGGCCACGGGATATGCAGCGCAGGGGAGGCATGCGCGATTCCTGCATGAGTTGAGTGAGCCAGTCAGTCAGCAGTCTCATGTGCAGTGGTTAGTGCTAGTCACGTCTGCAAATCACGTGCGGGTGACAAAAGTACCGACTCGATGGTGTTGGGAAAATTGGGCAGATATATGCAAGAAAATGAAACTAGACCACCAACTTACACCATACACAAGAATAAACTCAAAATGGATAAAGGACTTAAATGTACGACAGGAAACCATAAAAATTCTAGAAGAATCCAAAGGCAACAAAATCTCAGACATATGCCAAAGCAATTTCTTCACTGATACAGCTCCTAGGGCAGTTGAAACTAAAGAGAAAATGAACAAATGGGACTACATCAAAATAAAAAGCTTCTGCACAGCAAAAGAAACCATCAACAAAACAACAAGAAAACCCACTGCATGGGAAAACATATTTGCCAACGTCATATCTGATAAGGGCCTAATCTCCAAAATTTATAGGGAACTCATACAACTTAACAAAAAGAAGATAAACAATCCAATCAAAAAATGGGCAAAGTATCTAAATAGACTCCTTTCAAAAGAGGACATTCAGAAAGCCAAGAGACATATAAAAACATGCTCAAAGTCACTAATCATCCGAAAGATACAAATCAAAACAACAATGAGGTACCATCTCACACCTGTCAGAATGGCTATCATCAACAAATCAACAAACGACAAGTGCTGGAGAGGATGTGGAGAAAAAGGAACACTCGTGCACTGCTGGTAGGAATGCAGACTGGTGCAGCCACTATGGAAGACAGTATGGAGTTTCCTCAAAAAGCTGGAAATAGAACTCCCATTTGACCCTGTGATCCCACTTCTAGGAATATATCCCAAGAAACCAGAAACACCAATCAGAAAGGATATATGCACCCAGATGTTCATAGCAGCACAATTCACCATAGCTAAGGTCTGGAAACAGCCTAAGTGCCCATCAGTAGATGAATGGATTAGAAAACGGTGGTACATCTACACGATGGAATACTATGCTGCTGTAAAAAAGAAGGAACTCTTACCATTTGCAACAGCATGGATGGAACTGGAGAGCATTATGCTAAGTGAAACAAGCCAGTCAATGAAGGAAAAATACCACATGATCTCACTCATTCATGGATAATAAAGACCATTACAAACTTTTGAAGAATAATAGATACAGAGGCAGAGCTGCCTCAAACTGATTGTCAAACTGCAGTGGGAAGGCCGGGGAGGGTTGGGGGGCAGGAGGGAGGGGGGTAAGAGATGAACCGAAGGACTTGTATGCATGCATATAAACATAACTAATGGACATAAGACACTGGTGGGTAAGGGAGGGCAGGGGATTGTCAAGGGCGGGGGGAAAAAAAGGACACATATGTAATACCCTGTGTAATACTTTTAACAAAAAAATAAAAATAAATAAAAAAATAAAAATAAAAAAAAAAGTACCTACTCGAAGCATAAAGTTACCTGTATTTTTCCAACCAGCTGCAAATCCTACAGGTATTTTTGTCATCAATTTAAGACTTGTAATTCTTTTGTGAAGGTGGCTTTATTATTATAAAATGAAACATTTTTTTAGGTGCCCTGTTTGAGATGGCTACAAAGAAGAAGCAAAAAAAAAACGGAAGATGAAAACCGTGAATTTAAAGTTGAATTTAAAGTTGAATGTACCTACCTATATAGTTTAAGTTTAAAAAATTTGGCTCTCAAAAGAAATTTCAATGGTCGTACTGTTGATATTTGGCTCTGTTGACTCATGAGTTTGCCGACCACTGGGCTAGGGCAATGTATACACAATTGAACAGCTGACAGCTCAATTTTGAAAAGAAAATGTATTTTATTGAACTCTCCCTTTATAATTATTCAAAGTGTGTGTATACATTTTTGGGGGGGGGGGAACCCTATATTTAGGAGTTCCCTCAGCAGTGCCAGGGAACTACAAACATGGCCCAGCTCAGTGCTGCTTCCCAACTCCCTGGTCTGGGCTGGGCTGGGCTGGGCTGGGTGGGGGTCAGGGCTCATGAGGATGGCAGCTGGGGCTGTTCAGGGTCTGACCAGGAGTATGTAGTCAAGCGGACTCTGACAGCCTGGCCTGGGTGAACCCAGGTGTCCAGCCTGCAGGAGGAGATAAAGGGTCCATTGTCCTGCCTGACCCTGGGTCTGGGGTCAGGGCTGGCCAGCAGCCTCCCATCCCCTTTCCTCCCTCTCCAGGGCTTCCTGCTTGGGGACAGCTGTCTGGCCTCACAATAGCTGTGCTGCCCTCTGGAGGCTTCCTCTTATGCCCCCCTCCATCTGGAGACCCCAACTGACCCTTGCCTCACCTGGGGCTTGGAAGGGTGCTGAGTGTGGGCTGGTAGCACAGGAAGGGGCCGAGGACATTGAGGTCCCCTCATCTTCCACACAATGGGGGGCATTGCAGAGAGGACAGTCATCCTAACAGCCACGGCTGGGGTTGGTCATCTGGGCAGTTGACCAGGAAGCTACAGTTTCAGGGCCCTCAGGGAACCACTGTCCATTCCCTGCAGATCACTCCATTGGGGGAGGGATCGAGCAAAGGGGGAGAGAGGCACCTGCGCAGTGAAGTCAGGTGAAGAGGGAAGGTGGTCGCCTGTCAGTCTAGCCTGTCAGGCTAGCAGGGGTGGGGACGTTGGGCCCTCAAATTCATTTGGTTTGGCCCTGCCAAGGCATCAGGGATGAGAAAATTAAATGTTTGACCAAATATTGCAGGCTAATTTTTAAGTTGATAATTTTGTATGGCCTGTGAATGATGTTATAAATATCCAAATGGCTCTTGGCAGGTAAAGGTTCTCACCCCTGGGCCAGAGGATGGAAACACACAAAATGTGAGAAGGTTCAAATCCCCAGAGTCCTCTCTCTCTTCTTCTTGTGCTCCCTGTTGGTCTGTGACCTGCACTCTCCCTGTGTTCCAGTGCTCCCGCCCATAGCATGGACCTTAAGCAGCCTCACGGCCCATGACTGGACTGGATTGGATTTTAGAAGGGAACAGACCTCAATTCTGGCCGTGCAGAAGACAAGCTTGGACTTCTTCCATGCTGGATGGACAGAGATGGGACCTTGGAGCGGAACCCGCTTAAGTTTTCATTCAATAAAGCTTTCCGAGAAACCCCATCTCCCCCTGCGGCTTCAGCAAATCTTTTCCTTGCAGCACCCCATGAACTCCACTTCCACTGATAACAGTGGGATAGTCTGAAATAAAAACTTTTAAACTAAAAACGAGTCTTGGAAGGAGGTCAAATCTTAGGCTTGTACCTTCCCTGACCAAGGCCAATCTTTACCTTCACTGAGCTTGTCTATTGTCTTTTTGCATCTACGTAACATACCTTTGCAATGTCAGGGTAATTTCCTTTTTTCTAGACCCTCACATCTCCCACCTGGACAAGAGACCACAGAGCCCCTCATTGTTATTGTTACCATGTGAATTGTGAACTCTTACCTCTCCTGTACCCACCTGCATAAAGGAGTCTGTGTCTGTTCCTTTTACTTTTTATCCAATCCCAGAGATCTCTGGGCCTGCCTCCCTGATCTACCACCAGTGGATTTCTTGTAACCCCCTTAGGCTTCTTCCTTTGATAGTGATGTATGAAATAAGGCACAAAACTGCCATTCTTGGGAGAATTTTCTCAATCTGTTGTGATTTTGCTTCTAGGCAGTTGCTGTCAGTTTGGCTCAAATAAACTCATAAAAATTCTCTACAGGTTTGAATGTTTCTTTGGTTGACAGAGGGGAACAGAGTGTGGAGACTGGAGCCAGGGAACCAGCACGGGAGATGATGGGAGGGTGGGGGCAAAAGAGGAGAAGTGAGAGGATTTGGGGTGTAGTGAAGTCAGAGCCATCGGGCTTGCTGACCGGCCAGGTTATAGTGGTGGTGGCAGGATGTTCCTCTTCAGGCCTCCCCCAAGCTTGCAGCAACATCTCACTGCATTTCCCAGTATGTTGCCCAGTTCTTCCTCACCCTGCTGCGTGAGGCCAGTGGCAGGCATTTTATTCCCAGTCATCAGACAGGAATACTGAGTTCCAGACAGGTTAGGGCTCAAGGCACATCCTAGGGCAGTGATGGCGAACCTATGACACTCATGTCAGAGGTGACACATGAACTCATTTTTTTGGTTGATTTTTTTTGTTAAATGGCATTTAAATATATAAAATAAATATCAAAAATATAAATCTTTGTTTTACTATGGTTGCAAATATCAAAAAATTTCTATATGTCACATGATACCAGAGTTAAGTTAGGGTTTTTCAAAATGCTGACTGGCTGAGCTCAAAAGATTCACCATCACTGACTCTCCTAGGGGAGCTGAAGGCAAAACAATAGATGATTCTGTGAACTGTGTGGAGATAACGCCCTGGGGCAGTGGCTCCTCCACCCCCACTCACACACTGTATAAGGGCCAGGAGGCCTCAGAAGGATGCCCAGCTGCCCAGCCTGTCGACACGGAACCACCCTGCCCAGACCATGGGAGCTCCTCGCCTCAGCGCCTTTCACATCCTACAGGGTGAGAATCTGGGGACCCTATGGGAGGAGTAAGAGAACTCCTGGTAGCACCCCTTTGGTGCCTCCATTTTCCAGTCTCCCCATACCACCCCCACCCATGGAGAGATATGAGGGACCGCTGGCAGCTCTGGGCCTGATATGGAGGAAGCCACATGGTTAGGCGGGAGCCATGACACATGGGAGAGCAGCTGGCAGTGCCCGAGTACCCTCATGCCTGGGCAGGAACCCCCGGGTGCTCTAAGGGTCTGTTCCCCACCCCAAGAGGGATCTCGACGCTCCTTCCAGATCCACTTTGGAAGCTGCTCCCTAAGAGGGGAAACTGAAGCAGGTGGAAGAGAGGGGGCGAATGAGTGCTGTGACCCCCTAGGAAGTCACTCTTAACAGATAGCAGAGAGGGGGTTAGGGAGCAAAGGGGGACCCTTCCACAATGAGGTGACCCCCATTGTGTGGCAAGGGATGCCCCAGAGATCCCCCTCTTTTGCTTCCCCAGACCCAGCTGGGACTCAGCTGTGCGCTTAAGGGCTTTACTGTTCTGGGTTGAACCTGAGCTCTGCTGTGACTTCCCCCTTGCCTCCCTTCCTGCCCCACCCAGGGAGGCTCTAACCGTTATCAGTTATCGGGTTATCAGGGCAGCTCATTGCCTGAGCAACCAGGCAACACAGAGTTAAAAAATGACATTTGGGTGCCACTCAGAACTTCCCCAGTCCACAGGGATGGGGATCCCTATGCTGGCCCAGTGTGCCAGGCACAAGCTGTTTTCTATAGCTTTATGAAGGTGAGGTGTAATTGACATAGCATGTAATTAGCCTGTTGCATGGTTACAATTAGATGACTTTTAGTAAATTTGCCGAGTCCGTGTGGAGCACAGCTGAAGGGGGCGATGTGTCAGGGGCCAAGTCACAGAGCCCCTGATCCTCACTTTCCACGTCTGTGAAATGGGGCAGAGCAAGGCTGGTCTCCACTTTACAGGCTTGTGTTAAGGGTTGAGTCCTGGTTCACAGTGAGAATTAAGTAACATTATTATTGCTTTTGTTGTTGTTGTTGTTGTTGTTAATGTTACTATTATTATTATTTCACTGGTAGGTCTGGGGGATGGGCTGCAGGAGGGGGATCCTTAGCAGGAGGGGTAAGGAGAGAATGACTGCCCCACCCCTGCCACAGGGGCCCCAGGCAGGAATCTGACTGCTCAGGGCTCAGCTAGGGGAATGCAAACCAGATGGGACTGGGAGCAGTGGCCAGCCACCCTTCTCCAGGCTCCTGTTTGGGTGGCTTCCTGGGCCCCAGGTGGAGGTCGGGCCCAGCAGCCTCTGTGGTGGGGCAGGAAAGCTCAGCTCAGCACAGAGAACCCCCTCCCTGCAGACTCTGGGGAACTTGACCCCTCACTTCCATCTTCCCCAGCCCCCTCTTCACCAGATTCTCCATAAGCCTTTTCTGGGCTCTGAGCCTCAGTTTGTCCATCTGCAGAGTGGGCATAAACAGAGCCTCTGTCTCCTTAGGGCAGTTGTGAACATGGACGATGCTACTGGGGCTTTGGGAGCTGGGGACCAATCGGCTCAGGACCCACCCTGCCAGGGAAGTCACTTTGTGGTCTGTCCTACAAAGAGGAAGTGGGTTTCCACCAAAGGGAGAACTAACCAAACCCTGTGGCCAGAGAGGAGGAAGACAGGAGTTCTAGCCTGTTCACCGCATCTGTGAGGGCCTTGGGGAGGGTGTGGAGGTCTTGGCCCTCTGCTGGCCTGAGGGGTATCAAGTTTTTCCATTGGGACTGAGTGCTCAGGGGCCCTCTAGTCTGCAACCTTCACAGCTCCTCAAGTTGTGCTCACAATGACCAACCCCAAAATTCCCCTGGGAGCCCCTCCATGGGGGACTGGGAGCCATGCGTTATCCCTTCATTTGGCCCAGGAAGTGACTCACACCTGCCCTGCCTCCCTGGCCCCCATCCCTCCACCTGCTGCCCCCATCTGGCCTCCTTGGATTATCTGGGTCTGGGCTGCCTCCCCAGCATCTCTAGATCTCCAGGGACTGGATGGATCCTCAAGACCTCCCCATACCCAACATGCTGCCCAGGGGCCCTCCCTCTCTCCCTTCCCCTTCTGTTTCTGTATCAAGATCTCAATCTCTCTATCTCTCCACATCTCTTTTTCTCTCCGTGTCTCTCTGTCTAATCTCTGGCATCTGTGTCTCTCCCTTTCTAGGAGTTCCCCGTTTCTCTGTCCATCTCTCTAGATCACTGTCTTCCTAACTCTGCCTCTCTGTTTCCCTCTCCATTTCTGTGTCTTCTGTCTGCCTCTCATCTCTTCATTTTCTCTGCATCTTTATCTCCTTGTCTGTCTCTCTGATGAACAGGTCCTCTCTAGACCCCCTGTTGACTTAAGAAGAACCCCCAGAACATGCCCTGGGATGGGGTGCCCCTGAGCAGCAGGAAGAGCAGGATTGGGGGGCCCGTGCAGCACCACCCCTAACATGAGCCCCCAGCATCTTCTTGTGTGCAGGGAGCCAGGGTGTGAAATGTCACCACTGGGTCCCAAGCTGGTCGTTGTGGTGGACAGATGTGGGTGCAGTGTGCTTGCACCTGTGTCCCTGAGGAAGGGTGTGGGCCAGAGCACCTTAGATTTGGGGGATCTGAGAGGACACCTGGCCCAACCCCTTCATTTTTACACAAAGAAATTACGGCAGTAAGCACTTTGACACACCAGGCAGTACTTGTCTGCTTAACTCTCACACTCTAGGAAATGGGCCCCCTCTTCATCCCCATCCTACAGAAGGGGAAACTGAGGAACTGAGGCACCTGACCAAGGTCTGGGATTAGAACCAAGGCCATCTGGCTCCAGTATGTTTCCTGAACTGCTGCCCACAGGTCAGCAGAAGCCAAGACCCGTGCCAGGCTCAGGCCCCTCCCCATCCTTCAGTTCCTGAAAGCCACCTTCAGGCGATGAGTGCAGACCCTCTGGCCATGGGCATTGGAGGCCAGGGAGGTGCCACCTGCCCACTCTCTCCTTGAGAAACAGACAGAGCCCGAGCCTGGGAGGGGTGAGCCGCCCCTTCCCTCAGATGTGTCACCATCAGGCCTCCCTTCCCTGTTCTGTGTCCCCCCTGACCCTCCATCTCTCTGTTCCAGCGCTGTGTGTCCTGCTGATTCTGTTGGAAGATGGACCCCAGAGCACCAGGGGTGAGTCTGCCGGGAGTAACTCAGTCCCCACCCAGAGTCCCAACCCCACCTGCACCTCTCAGCCCAGGCAGGAGAAAGGCCTGTTGCAGAGGAAGCTTAGGTTTGCCCCTCCCAACACCCCTCCCCAGCCTCTGGCTCAACCCTCATCTTCTGACCATGGTCTCCGTCCCACAGCCTCTGCCTGTCCCCGGCGATGCCCTGCAAACTCCAAATGTCTCAATGGCACTGCCTGTCGCTGTGATCCGGGATTCAAATCTTCATCTGGGGAGATTGACATCAGCTACAAGGATCTTTGTGACGGTACAGAGGCTTGGGGTGGTGGAGGGCTACATGGAGACGGGATGGTGGTTGGTGGCCTCAGCCTTTGTTCTCAGACCATCATGAAGGACAGAGAAAAGAGAAAGAAAAAGAAATGAAGGTGGAAAATGAGAAGTGAATAAACATGGCTTCGTACAGAGGGAAGACTGGGGCGGGGGATGCAGAGCTTCCACTCACCCACCACTTCAGCACTTGCTCCTGTATCTAAATCCAGGAGACAGACAGAAAGCTGAGCAGAGCAGAGCTGATTTAGTGGGTTTCAGGAATGGCTTGCTCCAGCCACAGCAATGTTGCCTGAGCCTAATTATTTCCCAAAAGACACTGATTGACCATCAGGCTCCATGCTAGGTGTGGGACCAGGCTCTCTGCCCGGAGGGCACTCATGGCTTTGGGAGGTGACCCTTTATCCCGTTTTGTTGCAGACATTGACGAATGTGAACAAGGCAAGCTAGAGACTCTCTGTGGAAGAGAGGCAGACTGCCATAACACGAAGGGGAGCTACTACTGCACATGCATCCCAGGATACAGGCTTGTTTCTGGGGCAGCAAAGTTCAGTGATGCTAGTGAGAACACATGTCAAGGTAAGAATGACCCTGCATCTTCCATCTCCCTGTCCATGACACTTGGAGTCACCAGAGCCATTCCTGCGGCATACAGGGTGCCAGGCCCTGGTGATAGGTGCAGCCCCCAGGTCTGAGTGGGACAAGTGTGCCTGTGCCTGTCCCACTAGCACAGAGAGGCAGGGTGGCATGAGAGCCAAGGCCCCAAGTCCTGGTATTGCTATCTGACAGCTGTGTATGCAGTGCCAGCCAGGACACTTATTCAGAAATCATTGGTAATATGCAAGATGTGATAATATTATTGTGATTCTGTGTAAAAGAGAGGGGGGGGAGCATATCTTTTACAGATAAAAACAAAAGGAGCTTTTCCTTTTCTTAATTGTATGACCTTGGACACGTTCTTCACCTGTCTGTGCCTCGGTTTACCCATCTGTAAAAGGGAGTGACAATGGTGCTTACCTCACAGAATCGCTGGGAAAGTATATGAGATCATAGAGCACATCACAGTGGTGGCTGTTGGGTGTTTAGACTACACTCATTCTGATCTAACACACCCTCTCCGGGTTGGACATCCCAGGGGATGTACCCCGGGTGGCTACTCAGAACAGCTGGCCTGGCCCATCCCCTCACCAGGGACCCAAGAGGAGCCAGGCCTTCATGATCATCAGGCTTTGCCCCTTTCCAGGGAGAGCAGGTGGGCAGGGAAGGGGCTTCAGGCATCCGCAGACAGTTGGAGCCAGCAGTGGTCAGGAGAAGCCATGACTCACCCAGAGACAGGGGGTTAGTGAAGAATACAGAGAGGGGAGGAGGAGGCTGAGCTGGAGATCCTGGGGGCTCTGAGCCGGGTCCGCAGGCCTGCCCTGTGTGCAGAGGGAGGTGGCAGAGCCTCCTGGTGGGAGGGAAGGGGGCTCATGGCGCAGTGCATTCTAGAACAATATCGTCCTCTTCCCCATCGCCAGTGCCTGCTGGGATGAGACCCGATGCCACCGGAGCCCACACAGGGGCAGCCATGCCAGGCCCTCCCAGACCCCCCGGGCCATGATGGCCCAGGGACGCCCTCAAGAAAATTGCCTCTGGCCCACAGCCCCAGCTGGAGAAGCTGCCTCCTGATACCCTGACCCCAATTCTCAGCCACTCGGCCTCCATCTATCCCCCAAGCAAGCGTCCACCCTGACCCTCACCTGTAACTGCAGTTCTCAGGACGGTGGGCAGCTTGATGACCGGATCCAGATGGGTTACATGTCGGGGGAGGACTGGGTGACGTCGACCTCCCCACCCAGCCCCAAGCTCTGAGAGTTGGGTGAAGGAAGAGGCTCCCACCTGGACCAGGTGACAGGAGGGGGCATCATCGGGGACCATTGCCCCGGGCTCAATCCTCTCCCAAGGAGGTCAACCCAGGTGCCTTGGGGGCCCAGACCATGGGGCTACAGAAGACAGAGCTCAGCCCCTCTAGGCAAGGCCCACAGGTCTGTGTCCCTGGTGGGAGAACAAGGAGCCAGATGACAGACACACCTGCTACTCTTCACCCATCAGCTGCTGCTCCCCGCTCCAGGCACCCAGCCCTTGCCCACCGCTGGCCAAGCTCACATTGGATTCTCATCACTCCCTGCCAGTCCAGGGGATGCCTTCAGGGAGATTAGAAGGGGCACCTTCACCACCACAAGACAGCATGACTGGATGTCAGCCCCACTGCCCTCATGGCCTGGCACCAACTGTCCAGGTGGCCCTGGCCTATCTGGCATCATTTTCACATTCTGGGCCCCGGCCTAAAAGCCTTGTCCGGGAGGGGTCAGGCTCAGGGTGGTTCTCGGTCCATCGCCATGGGCTGGAGTCTAAGCAGTCGTGTGGATGGGAGAGCGCTGTCTCAGCAGAGTCCCAAGGATTCCAAGGAGAGCTCAGCCCACAGCACCACCTGGGGGAGTCAGGACAAAGGCCACCGAAATGAGCCTGCTCAGGGCCTGCAGCACTTCTCCCGCACTTGGTTCCAGGAAGGCCCACCCTGGCCTTTGCCCAAGTCCTCAGGCTGGGACACAGGTGGCAGTGATGTCCCTGCCCTAGCTCAGAGCTGCCCAGAGAGGGATTGGGGTGGGTGGGTTGTGGAGGGAGTCAGAGGGAGGACTTGGACCGCTTCTGGCCACATCTGGACAACAGAACATCTAGGCCACTATGCTTACACATAGGACACAACCATATGAATTAGAAAAGGCACCACTCACCTGGCAGGAGGCAGTGGGGCCTTCTAGACCCTTCCATGGCAAGAAATGTGGCTGACTCCCAGGCTTGAAGGCTGCCCACACTGTAGGAATCCACCACCCTCTCCTTCCCCTTGCAAGTATTGACGAAAGGCATCTGAACCCCAGAATCTGTAAAAGCTGCAGCAACTGTGTCAACACCCATGGCTGCTATACCTGCACGTGCCTGGCAGGATTTGAGCACAACCTGCAGGACCTGAACCTGTGGAAAGGTAGAGGCCCGGGAGGACACTGTGAGGATGGACTGGATGGAGCTGGGAAATAGCCGAAGCAGGTCCACCAGCCTCAGGAGGCAGGAGAAGATTCTCAAGTTTCAAAAATGCCAAGGGCCTGATAACGCTCTGCTTAAGGATTCGCCTCCCCGAAAAGTCCTGCCACAGAGCAGGGCGGTAGAAGGGCCTTCTGGGCTGGGGTTTCCTTCTGGAGCCCCTGTGAGCACCCCCAGACCCTCCCCTTTCCTCATCTTTCCTTGGGATGGTGACGGTGCCCCTTCTGATCCCCCTGAAAGCATCCCCTGGACTGGCAGGAAGTGATGACATGTCCCATGTGAGTTAGGCCAGAGCTGTGGCTTCTGGTTCCCAGAAGGAGACCTGGTCCAGCAGTCAGCAAGACGTAGGCAGGAGTTCTTGGTCAGGAAGTTCTGCCCTCATGACTCACTTTCCCTCCTGGATTTGCCACTTATAAACCATCTTGTAGAAGGTCACTGTAATGTGCTTTGAGAATGAAGTTGAAGGTCACCAGGTGGTGGCATGTGAACTAACGGGTGGGATCCTCAGGCAAAGAGAAGTGGGTGTGGGGAGGGCTTGATGCTCTGGCTTTGTCCTCAGATGTGAATGAATGTTCCTAGGGGCATACACCCCTGCCAAATCCTGGCTGGTGTGGCTCAATAGTTGAATGTAGATCCCTGAACCAAGAGGTCAGTGGTTTGATTTCTGGTCAGGGCTCATGACCGGATTGTGGGCTCCATCCCAATAGGGGGTGTGCAGGAGGTTACCAATCAATGTTTCTATTTCTCTGTCCCTCTCCCTTCCTCTCTCCCTAAAATCAATAAAAACATATTTTTAAAACACACACACACAAAGAACAGTGCCACAAAATGACCCACTGCCACAACACAGAGGGCAGCTATGAGTGCCGTTCCCGCCAAAGCTGGAATCTGATTCCTGGGTCCCCCAATGGCCCACACAACACCGTCTGTGAAGGTTCGGAGTTCAGATCCGATAAATGAACGACATCATTTTTCCTTTGCTGAGCCATCTGAAAGGAAGCTGCCATAAGGAGCTTTGACAGGGAAGGGGGCAGCACTTTCAGCAATGGTGTGTGCCCAGGGCAGGCAGTGAGGAGAGGGCACCTGGGCCGGGCAGGGCTGAGCATCAGATTCTGTTCCAATAATGGCATGAGCGCAGCTCTGTGCACAGCGGTGCCACAGCCCACAGACTCAGCGCATGGGAGCTATCAGTGTGTCAGCCTCCCTGGTTATAAGTACATCACCGGTCCTCCCCCAGTCCATCCTGCCCCACAGGTGGGGGCACAGCTTTGGGATGACACTGGCACACACACAGTCCTGTCCTGTCTACCTTGCAGGAGCGCTCTGAGCTTATGGTGCTTTTACAGTGGAAAATGTCACCACAAGTTTGTATACTGTCAGACTACGTGGCTGTTACACAGGGTGTAGCGGGAGTGTCCTCAGTGTACTTTGAGAGAAGGGGCAGGAGGGTTGTGTGTAGGGAGTAGAAGGAGGGCCTGGTTTGTCCTCAGATGTGGATGATTGTAAACCAGGGCAAAACTCCTGCCACAAATCCACCCAATGCCACAACACGGAGGGCAGCTATGAATGCCGCTGCCGCCCTGGCTGGAAGCCGGTTCCTGGGTCCCCCAATGGCCCACACAACACCGTCTGTGAAGAAGGTTCGGAGTTAAGATCCCATATTCCCAAAGACACACAGCTGAAGTCACCTGATCACATATTCATGGGGAGCCACACGAACCCAGTGCAATGAATGCTGGGGGTGCCCTGCTGGGCCAGGCTTCCATTCTTTGAGACTAAATGGAAAAAGATCTGGGGGTCCTGCAGAAGGAGCTGGGGTACCAAAGGGAAGGCTCCTGGGGGACCCCAGGCAGCAGCTAATTACTATATGGGACAAAGGTATCTAATATCTCACAACCTGTACCTCTGTGGGGGCTGACCTGCTGTGGGTCAGGCCTCTGCACACTACCCATAACCCCTGTGACCACCACTCAGGGATGTGCAGTCAGCAGGTGTCATCACCTCCAGCCAAGGTGTGGGGGGAAAGAAACTGGACATGGGAAGGGGGTGGGGCACGGAGAGGAGAGGGGCCCTGATTCCCTGAATAAACAAAGGACTACTCAGCATGAAAGTAGGGCCTGACCCTAGATCCTGCCTCCAACACACACACTCACACACCTAATGACCTGCTGTTCTGTCCCCTGCAGAGATCTCCTTCCCTACATGGACCCCACCCCCTGGAATCAAGAGTCAGGTGAGTGACTCCAGCTGGGACCAGAAGGCAAGGTCCCTCCACTCAGCCCACCATCCACCCATTTCCCCACGCTCTCCCACCCATGCATGAGGCCTCTAAGGCCTCATCTCTTTTCCCCAGAGTCTCTCTCGCTTCTTTGAAAAAGTCCAGGACCTACGCCAAGACTTCAAGTCTGCTTCAGCCCAGGACACCATCCAGGTAAGGACAGGACCCTGGGGAGGCAGGTGGAGGCATCCCATAGAGACCCTGAGGAAGCCTTGGTCTGGAAGAAGACCAACCCCAACACAATGGCACCCTGCTCTGAGGCCCTGCTCTCCCAGGGTGGGTGGGAAGAGCAGAGCAAGTATTTGTACTCACTGTTAGACCCACGTACACATACTAACACCTTTCCTCTTATTCTGGTCACTGAGCTTGCATTGTCCTTGGTAACCATGACCAGGGATTGACCTCTGAGTGGCAGATTGCACTAGCAAAGACCCAGGAATCCTATCCGTACCACTTTTGTCCCCAAATAGACAGGCACTAGGATCTATTCTCAGAAGCTGAGTGGGCATGGTCTTCCTGAAGCTTCTCTGGCACAAGATCCACTGGTTCTGTGTCCCCATCCCCCCAGGACATCATACAGGAGGTGGATAATCTCCTGGAGAACCCGGGGGACCTGCTTACTCTGCCTCCTTCAGAGCAGCACTTTGTGGCCACTAACCTGCTGACTGGCCGGGAGCACATCCTGAGAGAGATGAGCAAGGCCCTGCCCAATGGGCCACTGACCTTCAGGACAGCTGCAGGAACAGGCAAGTAACCCCGCCTGCCCCCAGGCTCTGCTCTGCCTGCTCCTCACCTCATTGCTCTTCCCATCGACTGGAGCTGAGTGATCACACTTGTACCTCCCTGTTACTCTCATAAACATATTAAGATAAAAGATCAAAAGAAAATGAAAAAAATTATCAATACTAGACATTTTCATTATAATATAAATTATCAGCAGATAAAATAATTATCCTATATAATAAAGAGGTAATATGCAAATTAACCATCACACCCTTGCACAAGATGGCCGCCCCCACATCATCACAAGATGGCCACCATAAGATGGCCAGCAGGGAAGGGCAGTTGGGGGCAACCAGGCCAGAAAGGGAGGGCAGTTGGGGGGGACCAGGCCTGCAGTGGAGGGCAGTTAGGGGTGACTGTGCCAGCAAGGGCGGGCAGTTGGGGGGGATCGGGCCAGCAGGGGAGGGCAGTTGGGAACCATCAGGCTGACAGAGGAGGGCAGTTGGGAGCCATCAGGCTGACAGGGGAGGGTAGTTTGGGACCATCAGGCCAGCAGGAGATCAGTTAAGTGTCAATCAGGTTGGCAGGGAAGTGGTTACAGGATTATCAGGCAGGCAGGCAGGAGAGTGGTTAGGAGCCAGAAGTCCCAGATTGTGAGAGGGATGTCTGACTGCCGGTTTAGGCCTGATCCCACAGGCAGTCGGACATCCCCCGAGGGGTCCCAGATTAGAAAGGGTGCAGGCTGAGCTGAGGAATTCCCCCACCCCAGTGCATGAATTTCATGAACCAGGCCTCTAGTAATAAATAAATTAAGATAAAATAGAAATGGCCTCAACAGAAAACAAATTATTAAATTTGGAGGAATGCATTTTAATATTATCTGATATTTAAGTGATTTTTTTTTTAGGTGAATTTCACGTAACATAAAATCCACCATTTTAATCAAAGTGTACAATTCAGTTGCATTTAATACATTCAGAGTTATACAGCCATCACCTCTATTTCTTTTCTTCTTAATATGTTTTTGTTGATTTCAAAGAGAGGTAGAGGGAGAAGGAGAGAGAGATAGAAACATCAATGATGAGATAAACCAAAGAACCTATATACTTATATGCATAGCCCATGGGCGTAGGGGCTGGCAGGAGGGGGTAAAGAAGGGGAAATTGGGAGATATCTGTAATACTTTCAATAATAAGAAAAATATATTTTAAAAAATATATTTTAGCCCTAGCTGGTTATGCTCAGTGGATAGAGTGTTGGCCTGTGGACTGAAGGGTTCTAGGTTTGATTCCAGTCAAGGGCACATGCCTGGTCTGTGGACTTGATCCCCAATGAGGGTCATGCAGGAGGCAACAGATCAATGATTCTCTCTCATGGATGATGTTTCTGACTCTCTCTCCCTCTCCTTTCCTCTCTGAAATCAATAAAAATATATTTTAAAAATATATATGTATTTTAATAGTGACTGCCTCCTGTATACCCCCTACTGGGGATCAAGCCAGAAAGCTAGGCATGTGCCCTGATTTGGAATCCATCTGTGATCTCTTGGTTCATAGGTTGATGCTCTACCACTGAGCAACACCAGCCAGGCCATCACCTCTATTTCTAGTATTTTTATCACCCCAGAAGTGAGCACTGTACCCACTAAGCCAGTGATGGCGGAACCTATGATACGCATGTCAGAGGTAACACGGGAACTTATTTTTATGATTGATTTTTCTTTGTTAAATGGTATTTAAATATATAAAATAAATATCAAAAATATACATCTTTGTTTCACTATAGTTGCAAATATCAAAAAATTTCTATATTTGACACGGCGCCAGAGTTAATCTAGGGTTTTTCAAAATGCTGACATGCGGAGCTCAAAAGGTTCGCCATCACTGCACTAAGCAGTTATTTCTCATTTCTCCCTCCCCCAGCCCTCAGCAAGCATTTATCTGTTTTCTGTCTCTATGAATTAGCCTATTCTGTACATTTTATATAAATAGAATCACACAATACATGACCTTATAGTCTAGCTTCTTTCACCCAGCATAGTTTTCAAGATCATCCACATGGTAGCATATATCATATGGTTGAATTCTATTCCATTGCAGGTATACACCACCTTTTGTTTATCCATTCATCCATTTATGGACATTGAATTGTTGCCACCCTTTGACTATTGTGAATAGAGTTACTATGATATTGGTGTGCAAGTTACCGTTTGAATAACTGTTTCAGTTCTTTGGGTCCATATGTAGGAGTGGAATTGCTGAGTGATATGCTAATTATATGTTCAACATTTAGGAGCCACCAAACTGTTTTCCAAAATGGCTGTGCCCTCACCCCCAGCAATGTGTGAGGGTTTTATTCTTTACATGCCCAGCAAAACGTCTTACTTCCATTTTGTTTTGGTTTTAGTAAAACCTTTCTAGTGTGTCAGTTGACATCTCATTAGGCCAAGCATGTCAAACTCGTGGCCCACAGGCCACCAGTGGCCCACAACAAATATTTTTGCGGCCCAGCCAATATAGTTGTACATAAGACTACAACATTTCACTAAAGACTGATTACTATAATCATGTTGCACTCATTTCCCTTACGCGCCTTGCATGCAGGTGCACCATTTCTCTCCACTAATACCAGCACCAAATATTTTAGCAGCCGATTGCCAAGTCATTAGTCTTGGACTCATTTGTTTGGTGTGTGCAACAGGAAATATTTCATTTTCGGAGAACAAGAAAAATAGGTTTATTTGCTTTACGCCTATTAATTTGTGCAGTTATTCAGTGTCTGGTAAGTTAATGTTCAAGGAAAAATATTAATTTTTATTAAATTGTTCTATTATTTTATGTTAATGATTACTCATTTATTACAGCCCTTTGTATTCAGCATGTCCCTATCAAAATCAAGTGGTAGTGAAAATAAATGAAAAATTGGTGACAAACATCAAAATTTCCAAGAAAAGTGGGATTTGGAACATTTTTTCTCTGGAGTAAAAATATTCTGCTTCATATGTAATAGTGCTATTATACATTGAAAATTGAAGCTTTTGTTTTTTTTCAGCCCACATAAACTTAAACCTTGTTTATTTGGCCCGTGTTAGACTTTGAGTTTGTCATGCTTGCATTAGGGTTTTGATTGCATTTTCCTAATAACTAGTGATATTTAATATCTTTTCAAGGGATTGTTGAACATTTGTGTATCTTTTTGGGGTAAATGTCTATTCAAGTCCTTTGCCTATTTTTTAATTGGGCTGTTTGGCTTTTTGTTGTTTAGTTTTAAGTGTTCTTTATATATTTGCTAGTAGACCCTTATGAGACATGTGATTTGCTAATATGATTTTCCATCCTATAGATTCTTTTCACTTTCTTTTTTTTAATTAAATCTTTATTGTTCAGATTATTACAGTTGTTCCTCTTTTTTTCCCCCATACCTCCCCTCCACCCGGTTTCCACCCCACCCTCTCCCCCACCCCACTATCCTCATCTATAGGTGTATGACTTTTGTCCAATCTCTTCCTGCACCCCCCACACCCCTTTCCCCCTGAGAATTGTCAGTCCATTCCCTTTCTATGCCCCTGATTCTATTATATTCACCAGTTTATTCTGTTCATCAGATTTTTTATTCACTTGATTTTTAGATTCAGTTATTGATAGATATGTACTTGTTGTTCATAATTTTTATCTTTACCTTTTTTTTCTACTTCCTCTTCTTAAAGAATACCTTTCACCATTTCATGTAGTCCTGGTTTGGTGGTGATGAACTCCTTTAGCTTTTTCTTATCTCTGAAGCTCTTGATCTGACCTTCAATTCTGAATGATAGCTTTGCTGGGTAAAGTAATCTTGGTTGTAGGTTCTTACTATTCATTATTTGAATATTTCTTGCCACTCCCTTCTGGCCTGAATAGTTTCTGTTGAGAAATCAGCTGACAGTCATATGGGTACTCCTTTGTAGGTAACTGTTTTTCTCTTGCTGCTTTTAAGATTCTCTCTTTGTCTTTTGTTCTTGGCATTTTAATATGATGTGTCTTAGTGTGGTCTTCTTTGGATTCCTTTTGTTTGGGGTTCTCTGCGTTTCCTCGACTTGGAAGTCTATTTCATTCACCAGGTAGGGGAAGTTTTCTGTCATTATTTCTTCAAATAGGTTTTCAATATCTTGCTCTCTCTCTTCTTCTGGCACCCCTATAATTTGGATGTTGGTTTGCTTGAAGTTGTGCCAGAGGCTCCTTACACTATCTTCATATTTTTGGATTCTTTTTTCTTTTTGCTTTTCCAGTTGGGTTTCTTTTACTTCTTTGTATTTCAAATCTTTGACTTGATTCTTGCAATCCTCTAGCCTGCTATTGGATCTCTGTATAATATTCTTTATTTCAGTCAGTGTATGCTTATTTTCTATGTGGCCCTTTTTCATAACCTCGAGGGTCTCACTAGATTTCTTGAGGGTCTCACTAAATTTATCAGCGGTTTCTAGAAAATTCTTGAAAAACCTTAGAAGTGTGGTTTTGAACTCTATATCTAGTAGTTTGCTTTCCTCCATTTCTATCATTTGTGACCTGTTTCTTTGTCTCCGCATTTTGGCTGCTTCCCTGTGTTGATAGGGTGGCTATCTGTGCTAGGTGTCCTATAGGGCCCAGTGGCTCAGCCTCCCCAATTACCTGAGGTGGACACTCTTGGTGCACCCCTTTTGGGGCTGTGTGCACACTCTTGTTGTAGTTAAGCCTTGATTATACTTGGTATCACTGGGAGGAATTGACCTCCAGGCCAATTGGCTGTGAGAATGAGCTGTGTCTATGGTGGGAGAACTTCTGTGCTGGAGACACCCTTATGGGGCAAGACTTGCTTCAGTGGGGCTTTGGTGCTCACTGAGTCTGCCCCCTGAGTGTGTCCCTTATGGATCTGAGGGGTTGTAATCTGGATGGTCCTACTCTGACCACTGGTTACACTGGCTCTTGGATCTCTAAGGAGGTGCTGATTTAGCCTCTGCCTGAGGCTACCCAGCAGGAGCTATGGAGAGATCTGCAGATTCCTCTTCTTTGTTTGGGATTTGGAGGTGCCCAGATAAGGCCCAGCTGTGAAGCAATGCAAGCTGCTCTGGGGCCTTGGCCCTTCTTTTGGAAGTTCTGGGTCTCTCTTACCCAGCTGCAGTTTGTTAGGTAATTTTAGATTGCAAAGGGTCAGGCAATTCATATACAAAAGCCTGCACACGACTTGGGGGGGAGGGGCGGGGTCTCATGGAATCAACAGGGCAGAGCAAACAGCTATGACTGCTTCTCAGTCCTGCCCAAAGAGGCCCCGGGTCTCAGTGTCCCATGGTAATCACTGCAAGCACCTATGAGAGAAAGCCTCCCTTGAGTTCTGCCCAATACCAGACAGTCCAGTTTCTCCCCGTATGAGTCTGGGTCCCCAGAGACTCGCCCGGAACTGGAGTTCAGAGCAGTCAGGAGCTTGTGTCTTCCTCTCGATTGAAAAAGACAACCACTTCCTCAGTTGCCAGACCTTTCCAGGCGCGCCTCCGTACTTTTTCACTTTACTCCGGCACCTCCTCTGAGTCTCAGTGTGCTTTTTTCTTTCCTTCTAGTTGTAGAATTTCCTCTCAGCCAGCCTTACTGTGGTCCTGGATGGTGCCCGCTTTGTCTTTTAGTTGTATATTTGAAGTGGTTGTGGGATGCAGCAATTTCAGGTGCTTACCTATGCCGCCATTTTGGTTTTTCTCTTTTCACTTTCTTCATTGTTTTTTTACTTTAATAAATAGATGTGTGAAATTTTGATAAAGGCCATTTTATTTATTTTTTTTCATTTGTGGTACATTTTGTGTCATATCTAAGTATTGATTGCCAAATCCCAGGTCATGAAGATTTACTCCTGTGTGTTCTACTAACTTCAATTTTTATTTTGTTTGTAATATTTTTATTGATTTTATTAGAGTGAGAGGAAGGGAGAGAGATAGAGAGATAGAAACATCGATGAGAGAGAAACATCATTGATTGGCTACCTCCTGCACACACACCACAGGAGATAGAGCCTGCAACCCAGGCATGTGCCCTGTCCTGGAATCAAACGGAGGGTGGGGGGAGAGGGTGCCTCTTGGTTCCTGGGTCAATGCTCAATCACTGAACTACAGGGGCTGTGCCTGACTGCTCTATTTTTAGCTCTTAAATGTAGGTCTTTGACCCATTTTGACCCGATTTTTGTGTATTGTGTGAGGTATGAGTCCATCTTCCTTTTTTCGCTTGTGCAGAGCCAGATGCCCCAGCACCATTTACGGGAGAGACTATTCTTTCCCTCATTGAAGGATTCTGTTGAAAATCGGTTAACCATAAATAAATGGGTTTATTTCTGGAATCTCAATTTTATTTGAGGGTACACATGTCTACTCATATGGCAGTATCATACTGCTCTGGTTACTGTATACTAATAATACATTTTGAAATCAGGAAGTGTGAGTTCTCCAACTTTGTTTTTCATTTTGTTTGGGTATTGGGGCCTCTTGCAATACCATATGAATTTTAGGATGAGCTTTTCCATTTTTGCAAACATAAATATGCTTTTGGAATATTGTTAGTATTGCATTGAATCTGTAGATCACTTTTAGGAATGTTGCCATGTTTAGAATATTAAGTCTTCCAATTCATAATCACAGGATACCTTTCCATTCATTTAGGGTTTTTAAATTTCTTTAGCAATATTTTATAGTTTTCAGTGGACAAGTCTTGAGCCTTCTTGGATAACTTTATTCTTGTTATTTTGTTGAAGATTTTTCCTTCTATGTTCATAATAGTTAATGGTCTATACATTTGGGTTTTTTGTCTTTTTCTAGTTTGGTTTTTAGAGTAATTGGGGCCTCATAAAATTATTCAATGTCCCTTTTCATTCTTTCTTTTAGGAGTGTACAAGAATTTGTGTTAACTCTTCCTTAAATGGTTAGTCGAATTCAGTTCTGAACGTTTCATTTAGAAAGTTTTGATTAGGGATTTGATCTCCTTACTTATGACAGGTCTGTTCACATTCTAGTTCTTCAGTTATTTTATACTTCATGGGTCTGCTGGAATTTGTTTATCTCATTCAGATTATATAATTTGTCGTTTCTCTGATAATCCTTGATAATTCAGATTGATATATATATATATATATATATATATATATATATATATATATATATCTTATGTATACAAAATATGTGTCTTATTATATCATATATATGGCATTATTTGATATACCTATAATAATTTTACAGATAACATTTGGTATATAGTGTAACATAATATATATAAAAGATATCTATACAATAAAATGATATTATAGCTACAACTGCTGGCACAGTTACTAATCTAACTCCCTTACGTAACTCCCACAATTCATAGAACTGTCCCTGGATGTGAAGAAGCAAGGAGACAAGAATATCACCCTGAGCATTAATCAGGCAAAGATGCTGGTGAACTGGGATGTGGTGCAGGACTCAGGTGGCTCAGGTAATGACTAATGTGAAGCAAAGGTCAGTGAGGCTTAAAGTGGAACAAGACACCCATGGATGTGACAAACAGAGAATTAAATATTGAAGGGAAGTCTAGGCTGTGGTGGGTCAAAGGAGAGAATGCATCCCAGAAGGAAGGGGGCCTTTGGGACAACCCAAGATATCAAACTTGTCCTTGTCCTGTAGGCCCTGCTGTGGTGGGCCTTGTCTCCTCTCCAGGGATGTGCAAGTTGCTGGTTGGGGCCCCCCTGGTCCTGGAAACTGAGGAGACACACAAGGGCCTGCAGCAGGAAGTCTCCCCTGTCCTGCTCTCTGATGTCATATCCGCCTTTGTGAGCAACAAGGACACTCAGAACCTCAGCTCCCCAGTCACCTTTGTCTTCAAGCATGTGAGTGCTGGTGAAACGGGGCTGTGGGTGTGGAGGAGGCCTGAGTCCTGGACACAGTCTTGGGGTTCAGGGGCTTTCCCATGGGCGCATCATCTCCCCAGGAAAGCCCATCACAAGCAGGATTTGGGTCAGCATTTCTGAGCAAGAGAAACACCAGCTCACACCTTGCCATGTTCCTACAGTCAGTGACCCCGAGGCCAAAGCAGAAGGTATTCTGTGTCTTCTGGGAGCCTGGCCAGAATGGAAGTGGTCATTGGTCCACCAAAGGCTGCTGGAGGGTGGGCACCGGAGACACCAGCACCGCCTGCCAATGCACCCACCTCAGCAGCTTTGCCGTCCTCATGGCCCACTATGATGTGCAGGTGAGAGCCTTGAGAAGGGACTTTGTTCAGTGTCTATTGCTATGTAATAAACTCCCATGCATGTTGCACCTTAAAAAACATAGTTTATTATTCTGCAATTTATGTGAGTCAATAAATAAACATGGTGCACCTGGGTTGTCCCGTCAGGGTCATACTCAAGCATCTCCATTGAGGATTGCTGTCCTCCATTTCCTTTATCATATTCACATTTCTGTTTTTCTCTCTGTCCTTCCCTCTTTCTCTCTCTCGCATACTTACACTAAATTAATTTTTTTAAAGTTCTCTTATGGATTTAAGATGATTTGAAAAAAAACAGGCAGGAAAAATTTTAATCTTTAAAAAGTAGTCAGTTGCCTTAGCCAGTTTGGCTCAGAGGATAGAGCATCAGCATGCGGACTGAAGGGTCCCGGGTTTGATTCTGGTCAAGGGCACAAGCCCGGGTTGCAGGCTCAATCCCTGGTAGGGGTTGTGCAGAAGGCAGCGATCAATGATTCTCTCTCATCATTGATGTTTCTATCTCTCTCTCTCTCCCTCTCCCTTTCTCTCTGAAATCAATACAAATACATTTTTAAAAATAAATAAAAAATTTGGCTGGAAATATTAATTTTAAGCTACCACCATCATCAGTACTTTTCCTTCTTTAACCAAGGATTTAAATCTGTAAGGAACAGGTGTTTCAGGGATGAGGTGAGTAAGTCCAATGTGGGGAGTTGATCCCTGGACATCGAGTCTCCGGATACAGTCTCTGTCACAGTATCACTTCATGGGGATGTAGGATGGTGCTCAACATGGAGTCGTGTGCCTCTGTGACTGTCACATGATAACCAATAAGCTTAGTCATGAAGGAAAATCACCCGATGATTTCCAGGGCTTGGTCCTCAATGAGGACTCTCTAATCCAGGGGTCCTCAAACTACGGCCCACGGGCCACATGCGGCCCGCCCAAAACATTTATTCGGCCCGCCGAGTGTTTTTGCCGCTGCTGTGTGCATAGGAATTTGTTCATAGTTTTTTTTTTAAACTATAGTCCGGCCCTCCAACGGTCTGAGGGAGAGTGAACTGGCCCCCTGTTTAAAAAGTTTGAGGACCCCTGCTCTAATCCCTCAATGTTTACAGGATCTGAATGAATCAGTTCAGAACCCCCTAGAATTCTAACAGTGTCCATAAACATCACAAATTTACCTGGCTCCTCCACTCCGAATTTTGTTGAACCCTCCCCAAACTGAAATGGTAGAAGAGTGATTAACCCAGATTAGGAAAGTGTGACTGCTCTCTCCTCTTTCCTGGGTCCCAGGATGATGATCCCGCCCTGGCTGTGATCACCTACGTGGGGCTGAGCCTCTCTCTGCTGTGCCTCCTCCTGGCGGCCCTCACCTTCCTGCTGTGCAAAGCCATCCAGAACACCAGCACCTCACTCCACCTGCAGCTCTCACTCTGCCTCTTCCTGGCCCACCTGCTCTTCCTCACGGCCATCGACAGAACTGAGCCTAAGGTACCGACACTGTCCCAAAGGAAGCATGCCCTGACCGTGGAATGAGGAGTACACTTGCATTGGACACTTTAATAAAATGACTTAGGGCTTGGGGAAGGTTAGTGGGGTAAGTAGGCAATTTCACATTGACTGACCCAACTAGAAATCACACCTTCTTTTGACAATTCCTTCATATACAGCAGAGTTCTCCCAAATGCCAAGGTATAGGAGAGGTCCTGGGTCCACACTTCACCTTGACAATCCCACCTGGTGACTCTCACTCCTCCCCAGGTGCTGTGCGCCATCATCGCGGGTGCCTTACACTATCTCTACCTGGCCTCCTTCACCTGGATGCTTCTGGAGGGCCTGCACCTCTTTCTCACCACACGCAACCTGACAGTGGTCAACTACTCCAATGTGAGCAGGTTCATGAAGAAATTTATGCTCCCTGTGGGCTACGGAGTCCCAGCTGTGATTGTGGCCATTTCTGCAGCATCCAGGCCTCACCTTTATGGAACACCTGCTCGGTAAGGGCAAATTCCCGTGTTTTTTTTTTTCTTCTTCCCCATGAGCATGGCTTTGTGGAACCAATATAGCAATCTCATTATGACAGATCAGATCATATGAATAGAGACAATAAGTGATGATGGTTATGGCATCTTTCTGATGGCTATCCTACATAATAAAATGCTAATATGCAAATCAACCAAACAGTGGGGCCACCAGTAGCTATGATGCGCACTGACCACCCGGGGGCAGATGCTCAATGCAGGAGCTGCACCCTGGTGGTCAATGCCCTCCCACTGACCTCTCCTGCCTCCATGGCAGCGCTAAGGACCCCTCAGGAGGTGTCTGACTGACAGCTTAGGGGAGTGGGCCTAAACCAGCAGTCAGTCGTCCCCTGAGAGGTTCCGGACTGTGAGTGACCCCCCTCCTCCCGTGCACAAATGTCATGCACTGGGCCTCTAGTTTACAATAATGAAGAAGAATGTCTCTAAAACTCTCCTTGAAATAACAAAGGTGTCATGAAAAAGGTGCTTAGGACATCATTATAAACAATTTAACCTACCTCATATAGTACAGGTTGTCCCTAATTTATGTTTGGAAAAATAGAACTGATTTAAATAATCTGAACTATAGATTGTAACATAGTTGAGATCTACATGGTGCTTACTCTGTGCCAGACACTTTTTTAAATATTTATTTCAGAGAGAAAGGGAGAGGGAGAGAGAGAAACATCAATGATGACAGAGAAACATCAATCATTGATTGGCTGCCTCCTGCACACCCCACACTGGGAATTGAGCCCACAAACCGAGAATCAAACTGTGACCTTCTGACCTGGAATCAAACCGTGACCTTCTGGCTTATAGGTCGATGCTCAACCACTGAGCCATGCTGGCTGGACTGAGCCAGGCATTTTTGTATCTCTTTTAAAAAAATATGTTTCTATTGATTTTTAGAGACAGAGGAAGGGAAAAGAGAGAGATAGAAACATGGATGGGCTGCCTCCTGTATACCCCATACTGGGAATGGAGCCCACAACCCAGGCATGTGTCCTGACTAAGAATCAAACCAGCAACCTCTCAGTGCATAGGATGATGTTCAGTCCACTGAGCCATACCAGCCAGGCTGTGCCAGGCATTTTTCTAACCATTTTTATCTTAGTTAACGCAATTCATCTTCACACCAATTCTGTGAACTAGACACTGTGATTTGACCCATTTTACACATAAGTCAATTGAGGCACAAAGAGTTTAAATAAATGCCCAAAGGGGCACAGCTAGTAAGTAGCAGAGCTGGGATTCAAATCAAGGGAGTCATTCTCCAGAGCTTGCACTCTTTTATTTTCAGCTGTTTATACTAGGTTTACTGTGTTCAAGGTTCATCGTGTTGTAGCTATGGAGTCCCATCTGTGTTGTGGCCATTTCTGCAGCTTCTAGGCCTCACCTAGAATTGTTGCTGCTGGTATTGTTGTTTTGTAAATAATATTCCATTATATAGATATATCACATTTTTTATCCATCCAGCAGATGATAAACAATTTGATTGTTTCCATTTTTTTACTATGATGAAAAATGCTGCTATAAATATATAAGTACAAGTGAAAATATTTTTAATTGTATTTATTGGGGTGACATTGGTTAATATCATTATATATGTTTTAAGTGTACAGTTCTATAATACATAATCTGTATATTGCATTGTATGTTTACCATCCAAAGTCAAATCTCCTTCCATCAACCTATATTTCCCCCTTAATCCTTTACTACCTCCTCCCACCCCTCTCTCCTCTGGTAACCACCATACTATTGTCTGTGTCTATGATTCTTTTGTTTGTTTGCTTGTCTTGTTTGTTCATTTCTTGCTTTCAGTTTTGTATCTTACATATGAGTGAAATCATAGGATTCTTGATTTATTTCTGCCTGAATTGTATCACTTAGCATGACATTTTCAAGATCCATTTATGTTGCACAAAGACAGAACTTCATGTTTCCTTATGGCGGAGTAGTATTCCATTGTATATAATAAGAACATCTTTATCAAACCATCTATCAAAGGACACTTCGGTTGTTTCCATGTCTTGTCCATCATGAATAATGCTGCAATGAACATAGCCATGCGTATATATTGTGAATAAATGTTTCAATAATTTTGGATAGATATCCAGAGGCTACCTACTGAATGGGAGAAGGTATTTGCAAACAACACTTCTGATAAGGGGTTAATATCTAAAATATATAACGAACTCATACAATTCAACAACAACAATCCAAATAAAAAATGGGCAGAGGATCTGAATAGACATTTCCCCAAGAAGACATACAAATGAGGGCTTTGAGCCCTGGCCGGTTTGGCTCAGTGGATAGAGTGTCGGCCCAAGGACTGAAGTGCCCCAGGTTCAATTCTGGTCAAGGGCTCCTACCTTGGTTGCAGGTTCCCCAACCTTGATTGGAGGTACATGCAGGAGGCAATCAATCAATGTATCCCTCTCACATCACTGTTTCTCTCTGTCTCTCTGCCTCTCCTTCTCCCTTCCACTCTCTTTAAAAATCAATGGAAAAATATCCTTGAGGTGAGGATTGACAACAAAAATAAAAATATATTTTTAAATGAGGGGGTTGGAGAAAGAGAGAGATCAATTTGTTGTTCCATTTACTTGTGCATTTGTTGGTTGATTCTTGTATGTGCCCTGACCTGGGATTGAACCTGGTACTTTGGTGCATTGGGACCACACCCCAACCAACTGAGCCACCCAGCCAGGGCCTTAGACAAGTACTTGTTGACACCACCTGAAATCACAGCCTTAGGCAGTTAGCAAAGTTATTGACAGGCATTTGGTATTATTTTTACAATGCCCTAGGGGAGGCTGTTTTGTCTCTCACTGAGATGAGCTTTCAGTGGAATAAAATATACACCAAATTTGGAGAATACAGGGTTCCTGGAGAACTAAAGGGTCAGAATAAAATACTGACTATGCTCTGGGGATAATGATGATGCTCTCAAAGGAGCTCCAACAATGTCAGATCTCCCTGCTGTCTGCAATGCTATCAGCTTTTGGCGGCCTCACCACTAAGCTGGGGAGAGAAGGAGTGGAAAGAGTTCAGAGTTGAAACACCACAGAGTCCTTCCTCACCAATCTTACCCAGCTTCGGTAGTTTCTCTCAGATGGACTATTTCAGTTTGTTCTGTGGCTTTGGGTAGTTGTCAGAGTTTTGAAATGGTTGGTCTTAGTTGTTTTGCTTATGCATTTGTTGTTTTTAGAAGGAGAGCAAGTCTACACACTTACATTCAGGAAGTCAGTCTCACAGAAGCTTCACTCTTACCCAGAACATGCTGCTCAAACTTACGTGCGCCTGCATCAGCTCAACTCTAGAGAGATTCCTTCCTGGACACATCAGTTCTTTCCTGCTTACATTTTTCTCAGTGTATATTTCAGTGTCCTACTACACTCTCCATTGACCTGAAATGTCCTCTGCACAGGCGTAGGCAAAAGAAGGTTTACAATTGTTGGTATGGAAAATAATACAATAATTAATAAATAATTGAACCAAGAATAAACTGTTTCACATACTCACAACTGTAAGCCTACTTTTGCCCACCCCTGTTCCTTACCCTCATGTGGATCAAGAGTGAATTCTGTCACTGTTTATCAGTAAAACCTTAAGCAACAGACTTAAGCCCTTTACACTTCGGTTACAAATCTGTAAACATAAGAGACCTTCTGTTACACAGTGTTGTTAAAATTAAGTGGAACAACTCAACAACAAAACACAGCCCAATTTAAAAATGGACAAAAGAAAAAGAGGACCTATGTAATACTTTCCCCAATAAAGTTTTAAATAGCCTAGCCGGTGTGGCTCAGTGGTTGAGTGTTGACCTGAGAACAAGGAGGTACTGGGTTTGATTCTCATGTCAGGGCACATGCCCGGATTGCAGGCTCAATCTTCAGTGTGTGGTGTGCAGGAGGCAGCCGATGGATAATTCTGTCTCATCATGGATGTTTCTATCTCTCTTGCCCTCTCCTTTCCTCTCTAAAATCAATTTAAAATTTTTTTAAGATTTAAATAAATAAAATACATAAAATATAAATAAATGAAAATGGACAGAAGATTTGAATAGACATTTCTCCCAAGATAATGTAAATGACCAGTCAGTGTATGAAAAGTTGTTCAACATTATCAGTCATTAGGAAACTGAAAATCCAAAACATCAAAATGAGATGTCACTTCACAGCAATTAGATTAAAGGGTTAAAATAAAAACATAGCCCTAGTCAGTTTGGCTCAGTAAATAGAGCATGGGCTTGCAGACCAAAGGGTCCTGGGTCGATTCAGGTCAAGGGCAGGTACCTTGGTTGCAGGTTCCTCCCAGGCACTGGTCTGGAGCACATGCAGAAGGCAACCATTTGATGTATTTCTCTCACATTGATGTTTCTCTTTGTCTTTCCCTCTCTCTTCCACTATCCCTAAAAAAATCAATGGGAAAATATCCTCGGGTGAGTAATAACAACAAAAATAATATAAGAATATTTTTAAAAAAGATTATTCAGCCATTAAAACATGCTGCAACATGGATGAACCTTGATTGAAAACATGCTAGGTGATAGAATCAAGTCATAAAATACCACGTATTTTACAATTCCATTTATGTCCAAAATAGGCAAATCCATAGAGACAGAAAGTAGATTAATGATGCTGTGGGGCTACGGTGGGCAGTGAGGTTCAGGGAAGCAGGAATGAGGAGTGACTGCTAGTATGAATGAGTTTCTTTTAGAGGAGTTGGAAATGTTCTAAACTTAGATTGTGGTGATGATCACACAACACTATGACTTTTTTTTTTGAAATATATTTTTATTGATTTCAGAGAAGAAGGGAGAGGTAGAGAGAGATAGAAACATCAATGATGAGAGAGAATCATTGATTGGCTGCCTCTTGCACACCCTCTACTGGGGATCAAGACAGCAAACCGGGCATTGTGTCCTTTCAGTCCGAAGGCCGATGCTTTATCCACTGAGCCAAACAAGTTAGGGCAACTCTATGAATATTTTAAAGGTCACTGAACTGTACAGTAAATGAGTGAATGTTATGATATGTGAGCTACCTCTCAAAGAAGCCATAATTTAAAAAACTCAGTCCTAGCTGCTTTGGCTCAGTGGATACAGCGTTAGCTTCCCATTTGTGTTTTGTTGTTGCAGTGTGTCACATTGTGTGTCTGTGAGAGGTGTAGGATTAAAGACCATGTGTACTTTCTTCATAATGGTATCTTCAGAGGCACCCACAGAGCCTATCACAGAAGAGACACTCAATGTTTGTTGATGAATGAATTAATTCATGAGTTTGCATAATTGTTCTACATTTCTAAGGAAAAATGCATTTTTACTTCTCTCTCTTTCTTAGCTGCTGGCTCCACCCAGAAAAGGGATTTATATGGGGCTTCCTTGGACCAGTCTGCGTCATCCTCTTTGTGAGTGATGACATCAGAGCATCCTTAACGCTCAGCTGAGGGTCATTAGACTTATAAGGAGGCGGGAGGATGACATGAGCAAGAATGTCCCTGGGTTGTCTTGGGTTTGCTTTGGTTTTCTCAGACTCCTCCCAAAACTGAAACCTCTAACACTGTTACTAAATATGAAAACTACTTAAATGTGGAATTTCTGTTGAACGGGCTAGACTAGAAATAACAAACTAAGATTTTATTCACTAAACCTTGTGTGTTTTCCTGAAGGTCAATCTAGCTTTCTTTCTGATGACCCTCTGGATTTTGAAAAGCAAACTCTCTTCACTCAACAGTGATGTGTCCACCCTCAAGAATACAAGGTAAAATGGAGAAGAGGGTGACAACCCCACAGACATGTGTGGTCCCAAGAGCAAATCCATGTGCCTCAGCATCCCTGGCGTCCCTTCTCGGGGTCTTCTGAGGGAACCCAGAGTAAAGAGATGCAGCTGACCTCCAATGGCAGCCAGCTTGGACTCAGTGGTGGGCTGCTGACTTCCCGGCCACAGTGTTCTGTCTCTAATCCCATCTTGTAACTCCCTCAGCAACAGGAAGAATTGACGTTGGTTGATAAACACTCTTTGGCGTTTTGTCAGCAGTCCTACAGCAAAAGTACAAAGAAACTGTGTTCACTTAGAAAGATCTGTGACTCCTCCCACAACCCAGTCTGCGCTTTCATACCCACTCTCAGTCAGGCTCCTTCTCACCCCTCTCCAGTATCCTTTCTACATTTTGCATGTCATTATTCTGCTGTATTAGTCATTGGAATAGCCTGTGACCTTTATGAAAATAGAAATCTTGCCCCTGTGACTTTTAATGCCCAGGTTCCAGCACATAGCCTGATGCACAGAAAACACTTGGTAATGTTGGTTAGATAAAATTAGGCATCACCATGGAGCATTATAAAAAAAATTTTTTTTTGAAACTTACCTTATAAAGTATCACAACCCTACTCAACTCAATCCAAATGCCATCCTGGACACAAGTAGCATTTTTATTGTGGGGAATCATTGACAGTGAAGGTCAAAGCTAAACACAACTCTTTCTGTGAACTCATCACCCACAGGGAAAGGCAGGAGCATTCATTGGGTGGAGATGAGAATGGTCTTGATTTTGTTGTTCTGGGTGCATATGGGCCTCTCTTCTCCTCCTACTAAGGATGCTGACATTTAAAGCGATAGCTCAGCTCTTCATCTTGGGCTGCACGTGGTGTCTGGGAATCCTGCAGGTGGGTCCAGCTGCTCACGCCATGGCCTATCTCTTCACCATCATCAACAGCCTGCAGGGCGTCTTCATCTTCCTGGTGTACTGTCTCCTCAGCCAGCAGGTACCACTGTCCACCTCCCACCCAGGACTCTTTCCATTCACACTCCTCTCAGTGAGCTGACTCAGAGCATGCTTTGTCTCCGCAGGTCCGGGAGCAATACAGGAAATGCTGGAAGAGGGTCAGGAAAATCAAAGCAGAGTCTGAGCAATACACCCTCTCCAGCGGAGCCATGTCGGACGCCACTAAACACAGTGTGGTAAGGCCATGCATTCCTCCCAGAGCACTTCACTAACTGATAGAGTACCTCATGCCCAACACACTGGAAGACCTGGGTGTATAGCAGGTGATGCCCTAGGATGGCTCCCACTGAATTTACTCTTTGATTCCTTAACCATTAGCAATGGTCTCACTTAGAAAATATATATTTTTCTCTTATTCCTGAGGAACAGTGTTCATCTTGACTTTTACCCATTAGCACTCTTATTGAACACCTGCTGTGTGCCATGCGTGGTTAGCTACATAAGCAAGAATCAATGATCTGAAGCAGGGATGCCCGTTGCACTCAGACCCACATTATCTTACCCTTTATCCATCTCTATCCCGTAGTCACTCAGCACTATGCAAGAAAAAGGCAAAAATGGGGGGAATGATCTACATGTTTAAGAAATAAAAGGAAATAAGTGTTAGCTAGCATTTTAGACTTAAGGAGGCTGCTTGATATGTTCGGCACCCTCCATCCACTGGAAAACCAGGAAGGAAAAGCCATCATTGCATCAGATAATTCATGGCAATAATTACTAAGAACCACCAGAGGTTTAGATTTACCAAGTTCTTTTAAAAAAATTTCTTAGACATAGACAGTTCTTTTACTTACAGTTTCTCACCTCTTCTTCCATCTTCCATTAAATGCCTTGCATCTTCTTCCCCTTTTAAAGGAGCCTACTATGCCGCCTACTGTGGCTCAGTGGTTGAGCATTGACCCATCAACCAAGAGGTCCCTGGTTCAATTCCTGGTCAGGGCACACTCCTGAGTTGTGGGTTTGATCCCCAGTAAGGGGTATGCAAGGGTCAGCGGATAAATGTTTCTCGTTCTTTATCCCTCTACCTTCCTCACTCTCTTTCAAATAATAAAAATATATTTTAAAAATAATTTTTTTAAAAGAAGTCTAGTATACTCCCAGGAATTTCTGTATATCTTTCACCTGTTCACTCATCTTCCACAAGCACTGGTTTCACAGTTGAATCTTCTATCCCCTCCCCATTTCTCAGCAAATATTCATACCATATATTCCACAGAGAAAATCTGAGTCATTGCAATGACTCTGTGAACTTCACCCTCTGAACACACATAAATTAGCAGGCACCTTCTCCACATTGCCATATCATTCACACCATTTCCCTTCTCTCTGAAGACAACTTTCACCTTCACTTTGAATCCCATCATTCTTGCCTTATCAATTCTTCTTACACTATTGTTCACACATTCTCTCTCCTCCCTCTTTGTCTTTCTACCACCCTTATCCCCTTCATTCTTCCCTCACCTTCTCAAAAGCATTCTTCCCAATGTTGTAGCAACATGTTTGATTTTTTTCCATGTTACAAACATGTACCACTTGGCCTACCATTTCCTTCTAGCTACCAGCCAAGAGTTGATTTTTCTCTGTCTCCGTTTCATTGCCTTAAATTCATTCCCTCAATTCATGTATTTTGGCTTCTTTCCCAAATCATTCCATTAAAGCAAATATCTCTTAGGTTTACAATGATCTCCTTGACCCTAAAATCTTTCCAGAAACTTCTTACACTATTTATCACTCTTTCTCCTGAAACACTCCATCCTTATCCTGTCTAGCATCTATTCACATGCCCCTCCTCCATGTCTTTCGCCATTATTTCTAGCTTTTCTCTCTTTGTTTCTTTTATAGCTTCAACCAATTTAAATTCTCATTAAATTCTTTCTTCCTAGGCAATAGAATTTATTCCTTAGGGTCAGTCCCCATATAGATGCAAATGATGACCACATACGTTTCTCTAGCTCTGAGAACTAGAGGAGTATTTCCAGTTACTTGACATCTTTGATATTACCAAGGCACCTTAAACTCAGCCTTCCAATTTATGACCCTCCATCTTCACCCTAATCCCATCCTTTTCCATGGTGTCTTTCCGTCTCTGACAGGCACTACATCCATTCCCTTATTTCCCATGACAACCTATCCATTATACAGCCCTATTGTTCTTATCTTCTCAGCATATCCCTCATGTGCCCAGATGGCTCAGTCTCCATCACCCCCTCCTGAGCCAGGCTGCCATCTTCATGTCTGAACCACTGCAATTCCCTTCTGACCAACTACCCCTTCCTACTCTTGTCTCCTTCCAATTCCTCTTTACACAGAAGTCAGAGGGATTCTTTCAAAATACAAATGAAATCATGCCACTCCTGTGTTACACCTGTTACATGTGCTATCTCTTGTGTTCAGTTATGAATAATTTCCTGAAATACAGTATTTATAAACTTCTTGTTGAATTTGGGATGATATTGGTTTAAAAAAAACAGACAGGTTTCAAGTGTACAACCAATAAAACATCATCTGCACACTGCATCCTGTGCTCACCGCCCAAAGCAAATTCTCTCTGCATCCATTTATCCTCCTTTGCCCACCTCCACCTCCCCCACCCACCTTTCTCCCTTGCTATCACCATACTTTTGTCCATGTTTATATGTCATATGTATCTATTTTTTTGCTTAATCTCTTCACCTTTTTTCACCCAGCTCCCCAAAACCCCTCCATTCTGACAGCTGTCAATCTGTTCTAAGTATCTATGCTTCTGTTTCTATTTTGCTAAATTATTTTGTTCATTAGATTCCACATATAAGTGAAATCATGGTCTTTGTATTCTTATTTCACTTTGCATAATAATATTTAGGTCCATCCATGCTGTCGTAAAGGATAAGATTTCATATATATGAAATAAAAGATTATATATATATATATATATATATATATATATATATATATATATATATATATATAGCCGGTTGGTACATTTCACAATGGAATACTATGTGGATCCACATAGTATTCCATTGTGTAAATGTACCAACAGCTTTTTTCTCTATTCATCTACTGTTGGACACTTTGGCTGCTTCCAAATCTTGGCTATCTATATATATAAACAGCCAGGGGCCGTCACATCCGAAACCGAACTGAGAACCAAACAGGCTGAGTGGAGCGACAAGGCCAGTAGGGGGTTAGTGAGGGACAACCAAAGGACTGAGCAGCAGGCTGCATGGAGCAAAAAGGCCGGCGGGGGGTGGGGGGTGCAGTAGGGCGTGACCAGGCCAGCAGGGGGGGCCAGTTGGAGGCGACCAGGAAAGCAGGAAGGGCAGGGAGGGGTGACCAGGCCAGCAGGGGGGACAGTTGGGGGCACAGGCCAGCAAGGGGAGGCAGTTGGGAGAGAACAGGCCAGCAGGAGGGTAATTGGGGGTAACCAGGCTGGCAGAAAGGAGCTGTTGGGCGTGACCAGGCTGGCAGGGGGGCAGTAAGTGGCAACCATGCTGGCTGGGGGGACATTTAGGGGAAACCAGTCCGGTGGGGGAAGGGACAGTTGGGGACGACAAGGTTGACAAGGGGGTCAGTTGGGGGCAACCAGGCCGGCAATGGGGAGGCCATGAGGGGCAATCAGGTCAGCAGGCAGAGGCGGTTAAGGGTGCTCAGGCTGGCAGGGGGGCCAGTTAGGGGCAATCAGGCAGGCAGGCAGGTGAACAGTTAAGAGCCAGTGGTCCTGGATTGTGAGAGGTATATCCAACTGCCAGTTTGGCCCCAATCCTAACGATTGGGGCCAAACCGGCAGTCCCACATCCCCCAAGGGGTCCCAGATTGGAGAGGGTACAGGCTGGGCTAAGGGGACCGCCCCCCCCCCTTGCATGATTTTCATGCACCAGGCCTCTAGTTGTATATAATACTGCAATGAACATAGGGCTGCACACATTCTTTTGAATTAGTGTTTTGGATTTCTCTAGATATGTTCCCAGAAGTGGAATGTCTGGGTCATATGATAGTTCCATTGTTGTTGTTTTATTTTATTTTTTTTCTAATACTCAACCAAGAGCATGCTTAGAGAAAGAGGGGAAGGGAGAGAGAGAGACAGGGAGAGTTATGAGGATGAAACAATGGCTGCCTCCCATACTCTCCCTGACTAGGGATAGAAGCCACAACCCACATATGTGCCCTAATCAGGAATCAAACCACAACCTTTCACTGTCTGGGACAATGCTTCAACTAACTGAGCCACAATTGGCCAGGGGCCATTTTTAATTTTTTGAGGGAACTCCATACTGTTTTCTACAGTAGCTGCACCATTTGTTCTTCATTTCCTCTGTGCTAAAGTGTGGAAGGGCCAATGGGCAGAGAGTGTGTGCTGGTCCAATCCATCCCCTTTGTTCTCAGTGCATCCCAACTTGTGGCACTTTCCCATTGGTGCTCATTCTCAGGCGTGATGAAACTCACTCTCAGGCAGACCCTCAAAATGTTAGAATGTTGGCGGTACAATTCAGTCATCTCCTGTGGCAAGATGGTGCCATGAATTTTCCTACAGACTTCAATGCAGCTGGTGTCATACTCAATTGGGGTGCAGGAGCCTCTCAAGTGATCTCTGGATTTTTCACAAAGGAAATGGATTCATGTATTGTCGGTGAATAGATGTGTCCATGAGGGGAAGGAAATCTGGAGCTTCCTATTCTGCAATCTTGCTGACATCACCCTAATCTCCCTTCTTTGAGTAAGGACACAAGTCATATTGGGTTAGAGCTCACCCTAATGTCCTTATTTTAATTTAAAACCTCTTTTAAAACTCTTTGTTAAGTAGAGTCATGTTCTGAGGTCCTGGAGGTTAGGATTTCAACATATGAATTTTTAGGGGATATAATTCAACCAATAACAATGCTATAACATGAATGATCCTCTAAAACATTAGGCTAAGTAAAAAAAAAATCAGATATAATAGGTTATATATTGGACAATTCTATTTATATGAAATATCCAGTATAGATAAATCTGTGGAGACAGACAGTAGATTGGTTGTTGCCAGGAGCTTGGAGACAGTGATGGGAAATTACTACCTAATGAGCGTGGAGTCTTCATGAGGTAATGAAAATGTTTTAGAACTAGATCCTGGGGATGAATGCATATAGCAAATGTACTAAATGCCACTGAATCATATACTTTAAAAGGATTTAATTTATGTTATGTGAATTTCATG